GCTTGATACTGTCTGAATTTGGATTGTGATCAAATTTTTGGCATAATATAGGTTTCTGACACAAAATAAATGTGGTCAAAGATCTTATAAATCCATTTCGCAATACTGTGCAATTGAAGATTTCTTCGTGAAACTTTTCAAAAATTCGAAATTTAAAAAATTTTGAAAAAAAAGTATGAATCCCTTAAAAATCCCCCCCTACTTTTTGAAACCCCTCTTGGAGCAATAACCCCAAAACTCAATTCCAGCCTTTCCTTTGTAGTATGGAACTTTGTAGTACAGAGAGATCCATACACTAACACACAAGTTATTGTCTGGAAACTAGAAAAATGCTTGTTTTTGGCACTTTTTTGGCCCCTAATTCATACATGTTTGGAGCAATTAACCCCAAACTCAATCCCAGCCTTCCCTTTGTAATATGGAACCTTGTGGTACAATGTCCGAGAGATCCATACACTTACACACAAGTTATTGTCTGGAAACTAGAACAAATGCTTGTTTTGGCCCCTTTTTGGCCCTTAATTCCTAAACTGTTGGCCCCATATACCCTTAAATGTATCCCAACCTTTTACTTGTGGTATTAAACATTGTGGTACAATTTCAGAGCAATCGAAATACTTATACACAAGTTATTATCCTGAAACTAGAAAATGCTTGTTTCGGGCCCCTTTTTGGGCCCCTTATTCCTAAACGGTTGAGACCATCATCCCCAAAATCAATCCCAACCTTCCTTTTTTGGTATTGAACCTTCATAAAAAATTTCATAGCGATCCATTTACTTAAACTAAAGTTATTGTCCGGAAACCAATATGTCTTCGGACGACGACACAGACGACGACGACGACATCATACCATTATACGATCCCAAAAATTTTTTTGCGGTCGTATAAAAATGTTTTTATTTTCTTTATTTCTTTAAAATTCATTATAATTTAAACCCCAAAATCTACTTTTTTTCTATAAAAAAGTGATAAAATGTTGCAATTTTATCAAGTTCACTAATTATTTTTAACAGTTAAATACTTATAAAAACATTTACATAGTTATAAAAACACCTATTGTTATTATATAACAAGGAATAGGTAACATATAAAATGTTGGCATTCGAAGAAGACTACCGAGTGTTGATATGCCGTTAAATCAATTACATATGGCGAAAGTGCAAATTACACCGGGTTTTGGTATACCGTTGAATCAATTACGTATGGCAAAATGATAATTACACCAGGTTTAAGTATACCGTTGAATCAATTACATATGGCAAAGGTGCTAATTACACCGTGTATAAGTATACCGTTGAATCGATTACGTATGGCAAAAGTGCTTATTACACTCGTTTGTGTATACCGTTGGAAATTCATTATCTGATAAAAGATGAGGTACTGTAATTGCATTTTTGGTTCAATATGTAAGATTGGGAGAGTTCAAGAGCGTCAAGGTTTTTTTGTATTATCGTGGAATAATACATAATGTCCATCCTTTTTCATTCCTGTTAGCTCAAACATATTTATTCGTGATAGTTACATATAGCATCATACTAAGTTAAAAGTGTATGAATAGGATTCGGTAACAAGATATGCATAGCTTATAATAATCCTCTTTCTTGAAATTCCAACTCCAAAATACGCTCGGTTGTAACAATGGAATGAAAACAAATAATATTAAAAAATTAAAAATTTAAATAAGAATAATAATAAGCAAAAGAAACAATAAAACATACAACAAATGTTAGCTGAAAAACGTATCTTGTATACTTGAATAATTTTTTGACAAGTTGGGATTCATTTTTTTTTTTTTTTTTTTTTTTTTTTTTATGCACTGTAAAGCGCTTAGAGTAATGTTTATTTAGATAAGCGCTATATAAGCACTGTAAATAATAATAATAATTATTATAAAAAAAACTATTCTTGGGGTACCAGTTTTAGTGGATTTCGTGGGTAAAGGTGAACCACAAATTCTAAAGTTTAACGAAGTCTAAATTTTTTATAGGCTTGTATGAAGACTTCGGCAAAACCACGAAATCAAATATCCACGAAAACACAATTTTCCTCTATTCACGAAACTGGAACCTGCGAAAATAAATGAATCCGCATTAAGCGTAAGGTGCGCTTGAGTTAACTATTACGATGCTGTTTTCGTTTGTTATCAATTAATATCCTGCAAGTAGCTACAGTACGTTACAAATACTACTATATTACAACTGGGACTAATAAATAATCTTTTGGTCTCAGATTACGCGCCTATTGGAAGTTTTCATACAAAACTATAGATCTTATCGCTATTTGGGAATCTGCGACACTTGACCTGAGAATCTGCGACACTTGAACTATTGACGTCATACAACAATAACTTTTCGTTTGTGGCGTCGGACATTTTCTATTGTGACGTCAAAATTTTAAACATGTCTAGTAAATGTGGACAAAATAGCGATAAGGTGTATTGACACCACATCACTTCTTTTCTAAATTATATATGCATTTTTCCTCGCACGTATGGAACTTATCAAAATTTGATATTATTCCGTAAAATTTTGATGACGTTCCGGAAAACAAATGCAACTTACCACTATTGACACCGTACTGGAACTACTCTAGTATTAAAAAATTGTATAAGCAAAGATAAAAAAAACATGCACACACAACTCTTAATTTAGAACCCGTTTGCGGTTGATCTATTAAATAGATTTTCATATGAAACGGCGTGACAAAGGTTCTATCTATTCAAACATCTTTGAACAAACATCTACGTCTATATATAAGCTTTCTTTTTCAAGTTTACAGTAAATACGTCTAATTCTTATTTATGTTTTTAACAAATCCATGTCATATTAGTTTCTATACTTGGCTGTCGGCTATTGTTTTGTATATAAATCTGGCCTTTGGTTTTGCATTTTGTCATGTCAGGGCCTTTTATAGCTTGCTGTACGGTATAGGCACTGCCCATGGTTGTAGACGATGCAGTGATGTATAGTTGCTGAAATCTGCGTCATTTGGTCTCTGGTGGATAGTTGTCTCATTGGCAATAATTATCACATCTTATTATTATAACACTTTATACACTGGGTCACCTCTGCTGCATGTATTAGACGCAGAAGACTTTTAGAAAAAAAGCACAAAACTTGAGTTTTAACTCATCAAATATAAATAAAGTAAACATTTCCAGTTTTTTATTAGTCTTCATCAGCTTAAGCATTTAAGTAAATACTTTTTAACGTGTATTCATATGAGTTAGGGGAGGGGGAAGGGAAAGCTTGAGTGGCACACTTTTATGAGAAGCAAGTCTATATTTTCGAAGTTAAAGTATTACAAAATTCAGAGATCACTTAGTCTCAGGGTGATCACTTTTGAGATATTCTAATCCGACCCATACTGTTATAACATCTTCTGTTTAGTACATTTCTTAAATAATTTAAGATACTGTAGCTATTCAAACCAGTGTCAAAAAGATAAAAAGATTTAAGATAGAAAGGATACTTCCTCAATAAATATTTTGAGACAAACGTAATAAATTATATATTATAATATAGTAATGTTGCATGTTTATCATCTGCCAGCCAATCAAAATTACCGCAGAGTAAAGCTGGTATGAAAAGAGAACCGAAAAGAGAAAGAATATTTCAAATGAAAAATTGGTTAACCAACCGTGCGAGGGCTGCATAGACAGTCAAGGTCGTTAAAAACTCCCATCATCAAATGAAAAATAGTATCTACTGTAACTATTAGTTAATACTACATGTAAGATGGTCTGGATGGGGTTTACAGAATAGAGAATAATTGTCAAAAAGTGCAGAATAAAGGGCAAAAAAAATAAAGAATATAGAAAACGAGACAAAAAGATAAAGAATAGAGAATAATGGGGTGCTTAAATATAATAAGAGAATAATGATCAAAATAAATAAAGAATACTAGAGAAAATGGTGAAAAAAACGTTTAAGAAAAAAGAAATGAAGGACCCCTCTCCCCCTATCAGACCCTCGTGTAACTTTCAGATGCTTCTTGCATACTACTTAAAAGTAAAAAGGGGCGGAGTTTCCGTAGTTTAAGTGTAAAATAAGGAACACCCTTACGTCTGTTAATTTATAAATACAGGGTCTTGATTTATCTATGTGGATAAAATATATTATCGTAACAATTATATATTAAGGAAGAAACCTACATTGAATTTCTGAATTATAACGTAGGATTTTATTTTCGGATTGATCGTTTATTTTCATCTGTTGCTTCGCATGCTTATATTTTCCGCGCGAAGACTTATTTTCACTTTTGTACACATTTGTTTCCAGCATTTTGTGTTGCAGAATATTCATTTTCATCCTGTCTTGTGCAATTTTGTTTTTGTTTTTTACCAGGCCAAGAAGAAGAAAAACAGTTTCATTTTCAGATTTTTAAAGACATTAATTATTTATAGGGTTGTTTCGACTAAAGTTTGTGCAAAATATCCTTTTAAAACATATTTCCAAGAATATTGTTAAAATTATATATGAGATCGAGTTTTTGAAGAAGCAGTTTTGAAAGCTATATTCCAGAACATTATTACCGCCTTGGTCGACTCGTGTTAACATGTTCGCCTCGATTCCGTGAGATCGTATGCTCGACCCCCGGTTGAGTCAAACCAAAGACTTGAAAATTGGTATGTGCTGCTTCTCCGCTAAGCACGTGGCATTTAGGAGTAAGGTAAAAAAAAAACAACGGTAAAGACCCTAATTGTTGACTAGGAATAAGAACAATGTGTCCGAGTAGACTAGCATGTCTTTTTGTCTTGTGATCAAGCTCAACTTTTATTACGGATAAGAGCATCTGTCAAATACGAAACCGGGTTCATTTTCATATCACATTAAAACGCTCTAGTCTTCATATTCATTTAATATGGATGGTAGGATAGCGTCTTACGCCGAGTATAAAAAAAAATAATTGAATATGAAGACTTGAGGGTTTTAATGTGATATGAAAATGAACCCAATTTTGCAAAGATTTCTTTTTTCATTTTATGTTTATTTGTAGGTAAAATAAGACACCATGAATAGGACATCTACTCTCAAGATGAATCTATCCACGACAACGCTGTCGATGGTTAAGACGGACAACACAGCAGATATGGTCAGCGTTGCCAAGGAGATGCACTGGTATAGCAGCGTGGTTTTTGGTACTTTCTTTGTGGTAGTTGGTCTAATCGGGAATATGCTCTCCATGATTATCTGGAACCGGAAGTCGCTTAGGTCATCAACCGGAACTTACCTGATAGCACAAGCGGCAGCGGACATGAGTGTCCTTATCTTTTTCTTCTTCACCGACTCCTTAGCAATGATGGACCCAGATATCAAGAAGGATAACTCTTATGGAATGTTCTATTCTTACGTAGGGTACCCTATATTTTACCTGGCGATTATCATTAGTATATGGATGACTGTTGGCGTCACTGTAGACAGATATATACAAGTCTGTTGGATCAGTTACTCAAAAGTAAGTTACACTTTAAGATAATTATAGTTGTCAGCACAAGCCTTGCCTTTTTGTTATGGTTTGAACTATTAAATATATTTTAAACATAAATATTCGTATATAATCTTTGTAGTATTTTGAGTGTTATGTTCGTAAAACTTAGTACACACTGAAACTCGCGACTAAGACCGAACAAGAAGTATCAGCGTTTAGTATTTCAGTCCTCATTGCTATAAAATGGGTACACGTTGGAAGTTGGATTTTATTTACTTTAAATGTATGGGTAGACCTCCATCTTTCTCATATTTCACTCAGTGCCAATAAATTTAAGGCTTACAAAAACAACATTGCAAGTGTATTGAGGATAAAGTACGATAACGGGGCCCTTTTGCCTGGTTCTTCATTGAAATTCGATCTTTAGATATAAAATTTATATTTTTATGTTTTTTTTAATTCGATTAAACCACATTAATCTAAAAAAAATGTTTACATGCAAATATGGAACGTATAGTTTACAGCAGCGTTTTTTTTAATACAAACTACATCTCGAATGCACATGTCGTTTCCTACTAGACAACATTGGCTTATTGACAAAAAGCCATTTGTATGTCAAAATTATGCATTGTTGACTCATTAATCGTAGAATATATAAATTATTGCTATAATTGGACCGTTTTTTTTGTCAGCGAAGGGAATAAAAATCTTTAATTTATCCTGTACTGATTTATTTGTAGTCGATGTGCAACCACAAGAGATCCCTATCTGGAATAGGAATCATAAGTTTGCTCTGTTTCATCATAAACATTCCTCACTTTTTTACATACGAACCAATCCACGAACGTAACTCAACAGATGATGCGTATGCAATGACGGAATTCGGCAAAGGACACGGAAGTCAGAGCTATGAATTCTGGGTACACTGCATGTTCCTTGTTCTGGTACCCTGGGTTACAATCTTCTGTTTGAATGTAATGATCATAAAACAGGTTCTGAAAACCGGCGCTAAAATGAGTGACAGGAAAAGTGTCTACGCCAAGGAGAAAACCAGGAGGGCAGAGAACCAGCTAACGACCTTGCTTCTTACAGTGACCTTCACCTTCCTTGTCCTGATAGCATTGCAGTGCATCACTCAATGTTTCTTCATGATGAAACCGAAAACAGTGAGTATTCAGTTACCCGGTATTTTATTCCATTTTTCGATTCGCCGCGGTAGGTTCGGATCACATGCATACGATTCGTATTGATTAGTTCCGATCCTTATCGAGTCTTCCTGATAAGCCCCGAAAACATACTATTCGTCCCCATTAGTTCCGATTCAAGTCGACCCATATCGAAATGGACCTGGATATTTGTTTTTCTTTATTAGAGAATACAACAATAAAGTTTCACATTGTTCTGTTTAACTTGTGAAAACAGCATCAGCCTTAAACACGGAATCATAGTCGTTTATTTAACAAAGAAAGAAGTTCTGTTATCATTCTCGTCTTTGCCATTTAAAAAAATAACCACCAAATTGATTCTTTGGACAGGGTTCCGATGGTCATTGTTAAGGGATTACAAATTGTATTTTTTTCATTACAAGAGAGTCACAAAACGAGGAAGACTGAGACAGCATCAAATAACATATGAGTTTGTCATCATTGAGGGGGATGACACACTTTTGGGGTGTGGGATTTAGGAGGTTAAAAAGTGTGGATGTGAGATATAGGAGGTTAAAAAGTGTGGATGTGAGATATAGGAGGTTAAAAAGTGTGGGTGTGAGATATAGGGGGTTAAAAAGTGTGGATGTGAGATATAGGTTAAAAAGTGTGGGTGTGAGATATAGGAGGTTAAAAAGTGTGGATGTGAGATATAGGTTAAAAAGTGTGGGTGTGAGATATAGGAGGTTAAAAAGTGTGGATGTGAGATATAGGAGGGAAAAGTGTGGGTGTGAGATATAGGAGGTTAAAAAGTGTGGATGTGAGATATAGGGGGAAAAAGTGTGGGTGTGAGATATAGGAGGTTAAAAAGTGTGGATGTGAGATATAGGAGGTTAAAAAGTGTGGGTGTGAGATATAGGGGGTTAAAAAGTGTGGATGTGAGATATAGGAGGTTAAAAAGTGTGGGTGTGAGATATAGGGGGTTAAAAAGTGTGGATGTGAGATATAGGTTAAAAAGTGTGGGTGTGAGATATAGGAGGTTAAAAAGTGTGGATGTGAGATATAGGAGGTTAAAAAGTGTGGGTGTGAGATATAGGAGGTTAAAAAGTGTGGATGTGAGATATAGGAGGGAAAAGTGTGGGTGTGAGATATAGGAGGTTAAAAAGTGTGGATGTGAGATATAGGGGGAAAAAGTGTGGGTGTGAGATATAGGAGGTTAAAAAGTGTGGATGTGAGATATAGGAGGTTAAAAAGTGTGGGTGTGAGATATAGGGGGTTAAAAAGTGTGGATGTGAGATATAGGAGGTTAAAAAGTGTGGGTGTGAGATATAGGAGGTTAAAAAGTGTGGATGTGAGATATAGGAGGTTAAAAAGTGTGGGTGTGAGATATAGGAGGTTAAAAAGTGTGGATGTGAGATATAGGGGGGAAAAGTGTGGGTGTGAGATATAGGAGGTTAAAAAGTGTGGATGTGAGATATAGGGGGAAAAAGTGTGGGTGTGAGATATAGGAGGTTAAAAAGTGTGGGTGTGGGATATAGGAGGTTAAAAAGTGTGGGTGTGAGATATAGGGGGAAAAAGTGTGGGTGTGAGATATAGGAGGTTAAAAAGTGTGGGTGTGGGATATAGGAGGTTAAAAAGTGTGGATGTGAGATATAGGGGAAAAAGTGTGGGTATGAGATATAGGAGGTTAAAAAGTGTGGGTGTGGGATATAGGGGGAAAAAGTGTGGGTGTGAGATATAGGAGGTTAAAAAGTGTGGATGTGAGATATAAGGGGAAAAAGTGTGGGTGTGAGATATAGGTTAAAAAGTGTGGATGTGAGATATAGGGGGAAAAAGTGTGGGTGTGAGATATAGGAGGTTAAAAAGTGTGGATGTGAGATATAGGGGGAAAAAGTGTGGGTGTGAGATATAGGAGGTTAAAAAGTGTGGGTGTGGGATATAGGAGGTTAAAAAGTGTGGGTGTGAGATATAGGGGGAAAAAGTGTGGGTGTGAGATATAGGAGGTTAAAAAGTGTGGGTGTGGGATATAGGAAGTTAAAAAGTGTGGATGTGAGATATAGGAGGTTAAAAAGTGTGGGTGTGGGATATAGGAGGTTAAAAAGTGTGAATGTGAGATATAGGAGGTTAAAAAGTGTGGATGTGAGATATAGGAGGGAAAAATGGGATCTTGGAAAGAGAAGGGGGAAAAGTGGAGAGTGGGAAAATAACAAAAAGAGGATTCTGTGAAATGAGCACCCCGTGGCACCCCTCATCATAAGGCTACACTGAAAATTAAATCCAAGTCCATTCGAATTCCTTTAAATATGAACTTTGTTTCAGGTGGCCTGGTAGGGATTGATATATCAAATTGTTTGATTCGTTATAAAAGTTTTTTACTTATAAAGTGTAGTAAAAAGTTACAAAAGGAAAATCCCCTGGTATATAAATATGAATGATTGACACGAAGGATTAAGACACCAAGATAAGAAAACCTTTAAAATTCTGAACTGCTTTTTAATATAAAATTTACTACCATTTCTTTTCAGGTAAATTTTGAGCTTGTAAACGAGGCTTTCGCTGTTGCAAAACTGGGTGTGATCATCAACTCCTCCGTCAACTTTTTCTTGTACTGCCTCAGTGGACGTCGTTTCCGGAAGGAACTCTTCAGTATTATGGGATGGCAATTTACTTTCGGCGATCACAGCGATCTTTCTTCAGAGAGAAGTGGATCCGGATCGGAATCGAAAACTTCAGCAATGTGAGAGTTTCCTCTGTTCGGTATAATTTTATACCTTACAGTCTCACTTCGAAATCATGGACCGTTTTTCAAGTCTAGTTGTTTTAATTTCATTATGATGCGATTTTTTGTACCGCGAAGAAGAAAAAAAAATGTCGTACATGTATTAACATAGTGACTATTTGTTTATGAAATGATATCATGTATTGGTTTTGTAAAAAAAATGTAAGATTTTTCACAGTTATATGTTATCAAATTATCTTTATATTAAACAAAAAAATAGGGGGTAGATTTTAATATTCGGAAGAATAGGGCTTAAAACCAGATGCAAAAGGTAGATATAGAGGATCCGGGAAAAGAGGAGTTAGAGAGGAATGAACAATCCTTAGATATCAATGCTTTTCGTTATTGGCAGATCGATCTTTGATTGTTTCTTTAAAAAATAATTCGTAACTATTATAGACTTAGGAAGATTTAAAGCTTAACATATTGTATAAACACCTGGACTGATACATGTATGCATAAAACCACTTTAGTTAAGATATCCAATCGTAGTACTAATTTATCGTAGGACATGTAGAAAAATCCGTCCGTTCGGAACAAATCTTAACTGAAGTAGCTGTCCTGTATATTGTTGAAGACAGTATGTTACCCTCTTGATATCTTTTTTGTGTATTTTTGTCGTTAGGTTGCTGTCTCATTGACACTTACCACATGTTGTGTTTTTATTCATATAAATGGCAGATCGTGGGACAGAATTGCCGGAAAATTGAGAAAAGATATAACCCGAATAATCCAGTAGTTATATTCCGCTCACTACGATCACTCCTCTGGAGGACACTGACCGTAAGAGGGCGCTGTAAAGACAAGATCAAGTATGTTTGGTTAGCTTCCACAACAAAAGTTAAACGTCTATTTGTAAGGTTAAAAATTAATTTAACCTGTAACATAATTATGTTATGTAAAATGATGTTGTCTGTGTATTATAATGGAAAAAAAATGCATTTTGCATTATCATTTAAGAGTGTCTGGATGGGAGTCTTCATTTTTCTATTTTCTAATGTTTAGACCATTTGCCTCTATTCTTTTGTCCATCATTATCTACTTTTTTTTGTCTATTATGTTATTATTCCCGGTCTTTATATTTTTGCCCTCTAGTTTTCTCCGTTCTTCATATATTTGCCTATTTATTTATATTCTTAAATATTTTGACCTTCATTATTTAAATTTGCCCAATATTCTCTATTGTGTAAATAATCTCTATTGTTTTTTTGCGGTCATTGAACATCATCCGAGAAAATTGATTAATTTATAAAAGTCAATTTCATTAGTGTTTTTACGAACAACGGACTATCTGGAGTAAGCCTCTTATATTTAGCTAGAGGCTTACATCAAACCCTTTGAGTATACATTTTTTTTTTAGAAATTGCGAGATTTACCACAACCCTATGTAAAACTAAGTTGAGTTGATCTGTACAAACAGATATCGACGAACTTTTCCGGACAGTCCGATACCAAGACCATTTTCTAACAACCATATAAGAATTAAAGAATGTTGTTTGATTTCCAATGAGGCAACTAACTATCCAACACAGACCAAATGACGTAGATGGAAGCAACTATAGGTCACCGTATTGCATTCAACAATAAGCAACATCAAAGGCTTGATTTATATTCCAACAGTAAACGAAAACAAATATGATATAAACAACGACCACTTACAACCACTGAAACATAGGCTTCTAAACAGCTAAAATACAGGCTTTTCGATACACGATCGTATAAACATGTCGTGAAGCATTATTTGTTTTAGTGGGACACGTGTTTATTTATTCTGGACCGTAAATTTTTAGACGAGATTTAAGCAACTATAGGTCATTGTATTGCATTCAAAACTACGCAAAATCAAAGGCTTGATTTATGTTCTAAACAATGAACGAAAAACAAATAAGATAGATAGCGACCAATTACAACCGCTGAAGCATTGGCTTCTAAACCACTAAAATACAGGCTTGTTTTCGATAAATGTTCGAAAAAAATATGTAGTGTCATCAATATGTAATTTTTGCTTTTTTAATTCTCCTAGTAACATTAGGAGCATAAACAAAATAAGCATAACATGATTTTTTTTTTCGTGGAGCATTTAGACTTTTTTTGGGACACATGTTTATCTATTTACCTAGCAGGATCATTGTTTTGAAATCCGGCATTCAAATTTTAAGAATACATGTATATATAAAAAGAATAGCGGGAACTACTGCTACCTAAACAATCCATGGAAACAAAGATGACATAAATACCCGTATGTAACAAGGGAGATAACCAGCCTAAATCTTTCAACAAGACCACACGAATCACCAACACTCAACTCGTTATACCGCATGTGGTTCATCAACAAATCTTGAAGAGAGTGACCTGTTTTTTTCCCTTAGTAAAACTGAGTTTACCCAAAAACCCAAAAAGAATCATCCACAAGTGTCATACCATTTCACATAACCAAGACTGAGGTTTAGCGCGGATGGTGTATCTAAAATTACAGTGAACTTGAACATACTACCTTAAATGACCAGGCTAGGTTTTACCTAGAATTGTTCATCCACTGAACCTACCACCTTAAATGACCAGGCTAGGTTTTACCTAGAATTGTTCATCCACTGAACCTACCACCTTAAATGACCAGGCTAGGTTTTACCTAGAATTGTTCATCCACTGAACCTACCACCTTAAATGACCAGGCTGGGTTTTACCTAGAATTGTTCATCGACTGAACCATTCTTTAAATACTTGTTTTCTTTGTTCTTCACTTGTTATTGCTTTTCTTTGTTCATCACTTGTTATTGCATACAGTCGTGTTATTTTGTTGTTAAAAAATAAAGCACTTGTGATTTCATAAGTATGTGTTGTTTTCATTGCTTCGTAGTTGATGCAAATTGCAAAAACCCAACAAGATGAAGATAAAACAGTCTGACTATCCGGCCTTTTGTCTAAAAATTTGCTTAAAAAAAACCTTTATTTATGGTATAATTTGTCACAGGAATTTACACAGTTACGTGCTTTAAGGAAAATGAAAATGTAAAAAATCAATGAGTACCAAAGAAATAAAAAAAACCAACAGAAATCAACAGAAAACAGAAAACTAAACAAACAAAAATAAACAGAAAATATACATAATAAAAAAAAAAAAAAAAATACTAGAAAAAATCAGAATGTAAAAAAAAGAACACAAAAGCAGCTAAAGAAACAAATTAACAAACGAACAAATAAAACAAAACAACCAATCAAAATAACATACAAAAAACCCAATAAAATCATTACGCTTGCTTTCCAATATTTGTAAAATTAAGTACTGTACCCTCCAAGCTATCATAGAAACTTCCTGGATCAACATGATGTCAAGTGTTTCAAGTGATTCTTTTGATGTATACAAGGGTTGAACTTCTTAATGTATTTCAAAAGAATTTAAATTAACCATAATGTTTTTATAGTGCGTAAATTCTGTTTTTACATTGAAACCAACCGTTTGATTATTAGGGCTTACAAGCTATTCACCTTTTTCGGAATCTAAAGGACTATTGGTAATCTCATTGTTCGTACACCAAAATGAGTATAACGTTACGTCATTGGTTCAATTTCCATTGTTTACAACGTTTTAAACCAATCACAACGTTTTGGTGAACGCGTTTGAAAACATTACCCAGAATGCATTAAATTCTGAAACGGAGAATTACCTGTAGACATTTTATATCCTTTACGTTGGTTGGTGGATAGTCGAAGAGATTGCAAAAGAATGCATTTAAATTCTTTTTGACAGAGATGAGCATAACTTTAAACAGATTCGCTTTATATTCTTTGATTGATTGATTGTTGGTGTTTAACGCCACTTTCAACACTATAGGCTATATCGTGGTGGCCAGTTTTTATTGATGGAGGAAGCCATAGTGTCCGGAGAGAATCACTGACCTTCGGCAGGAAAAACTGCCAACCATAGTCAATTACGATTAGAGTCGAACGTGCTGGTTTCGAACTCACAAACCCAGTGTTGACAGGCTAGTGATATAGGATAGACACTACTTGGAACCATCGATCACCAAGCCCCGTTAATTTTTGACAATTTTACCTATTATGTCTGTTTGTTTTGCTCACACATCGTTGTCAATATAATGGAATTCTATGCGACTGTCATAAAAGTGAGAGGTTTAGCTAGCTATAAAACCAGGTTCAATCCACCATTTTCTACACAAGGAAATGCCTGTACCAAGTCAGGAATATGACAGTTGTTTTCCATTCGTATGATGTATTTGAGCGTTTGATTTTGCCATTTGATAAAGGACTTTCCGACTTGAATTTTACTCGGAGTTTGGTATTTTTGGTATTTTACTTTTTATATTGTTAACACATGGAACACGACTAAACCTTTTGAGTATCACTCACGTAGTTTTCGAGTAAAACATTGACTGAATTACAGAAGCCACGAGAAATGACATAAATGTATAATATAGGTTTGAATTATCCTACATAACCATTTTGGCCTCTGGACATTTTAGTTTTACAACTCACTAAATGAAAATAACTTTATAACATTTGGCTAGTCCAAAACACTTTTCAGGATTCAACTTCATTGGGGACTCTCAACCCCCACCCCAACCTCAAAAAGAAACGCCAATGATGTATTAATGCCAGAATAAGTGAAACCCGACTAATCCAGTCGTTATATTCCGACTCACTATCGATCGCTACATTAACGAGAGGACACTGACCGATAGAGGGCGCTGAATCATTCGAGTTAGAACAAGTGAGTCACTTTATGACCAACAGTGACATCAAAAGAAGAACCAAATTTATCTAGTGTCAACTTTGTCCGTCAGAGGGAGTTGAAACCGTGGTTTCTAAATTTACCAACGGAGAATGTGAAAGAACCATGTCATAAATCATACCAGACGCTGAAGACGGTTGTTGATTTTAGGGAGCTACCATTTTTTAGGGGGGGGGGGGGATGAAATTTGAAAAAAGGCAGGACAGAAGTTTTGAGTAAAAAAAAGGCAGGATGAGCAACTTGGCAAAAAAAAAAGGCAGGATGACAAATTATGTATAAAAAGTCAGGATAAACTAATCAAAAAGGCAGGACCGAATAAAGTGAAAAATTAAAAGGCAGGACCGAGTTTACAACTAAAAAAAAATGCAGGACACAATTTTTCATCCTAGCACCCCCCCCAATAAAAATCAAATGGTAGCTCCCTTTAAAATAAAATCGTTGTAAATAATATTTATAGGTATAGAAATAAGTAGGCCGAATCAAGCAAGGGCTACAAACTGGTGGGAGTTGATTTTTTAATTTATAATTCAATGATACAAAAAAACAGTTCTCATGGTAGCATACTTGCCCGGAGTACAATAAGACGCGAGTTAGATTTCCGGTTTGGTCAAACTAAATATATTATGCTAGTTCCCTCCCTTGTATCATACGGGTATTTACATCACCCGTGTTTCCGTGGAGCTAAACAGATAAAAGGATAGTTAACCAGTCTAATAAAAGACTTTAAAATCGTAGTTGCTACTCCTCCACCAAGAAGGCAGCTATCAATAAATACTGCACAAAAAGATTAACAGGAATTATCAAAAATATTGGACAGACACACTAACCAACAAAGCAACAAAAAAAAAAGGCGTACAAGCAAAGACAGACAACAACGAACAATACATGGTCCATATAGCCCGACTTTGTAGGAGAAGTAAAAGCAAAGACTGGTCGATATGGAATCTAAATAATTTTACTTTGTGATCTGACTCTGTCTAGTACACATCATGCTATATTCATATTTCATTAACATTTCGTTATAAATATGCCAGTAATATTTTCCACTGGACATAAGCTATTGTAATTATTTCAAGAATCACTGCCACTGCTGTTATTTCACTCGATTTGCGAATAAACTATTTTTTTCGGAAAAAATTGACATAGATTCTAGTTTAAAGTCGTTCATATAAGTCATTCAACACTTAACGTATAATCAGGATCAACAAAAATGCGTAAATCTGAGATGTTGATGTGAAGTCAATATACATGTACTTGTAGACAGGATGGATGTTACTTACCGACCCTTCCTTAATATTAATTGCGTTATGTAATTCTTCTGATGTAATAGTTGATCAAGTTATTCAAGTGGCAAACACTAAAGTATGTTCGCTTCTCTTGTTTTTGACTTTTTGTCATATATTCGGAATTTTCTCGTTTTATCCATGTAGCGCCAATAAAATGTTTGCCTGCTAACCCCTACTTATCTTTTCATGACTTAATTACATAAAGTTTAAAATTGAAAATAAAAAAAAAATTTGAAAAATCTTTAAAATCCTTGTTATTTTTTTCATAGTTTTTCAAAGAAAAAAGTTGCCAATGTTAAATGTATGAAAAATCTAGAGAGATCATTACCCGCCAAATTTTCGGAAAATTGATTATATCTCAAGAACAAGGACAGGGATCTTTATTTTTTCTGCTTTTTAAGTTACTTTATTTATATACTATCAATTTATAACAGTCTTTTAAAAAGCTGGTTATTTTGAAACAGAGGAGCGAACATCCTAAAATGCTTAGTGTTAGGACAGACTTAATTTCAAATTAATATATACGTACAATATCGATTCCAATCCTCGCGACACATGTATATGGATAATACCTTCACCAGATACACTTCATTGATAAATTGACTGGGTTTTGATCCTTTACGTCCAGTGGCAAATATTTCATACATATTCAATTAAAAATTAGGACAAAAAATCGGCCAAAAAGAATAACCAAATTTATCTAAGGCCCACTTTAATGAACAGAGTTGGAACCTTAGTTTATTAGTAATTTGTCATTTATAAAATGTACGATTTACATCATATTAGTACCAAAGTACTGACTACTAAGCTGATGAAAGATCTGGGCAAATTTGATTTACATTATTCGAAACGACAAACATCCGCTATGATGGTGACGTTGTAGCGTACGTACTCACCTCTTTTGCTTAAAGTCATGAGTTCGATCCCATTGCATGCTACGTATAACGAAAGACTTTTCTGTACCAACTCATGCTATCTGGTCAATATGTTCGTTGTTTTGCGTGCGTCTATTTTCGGAGGAGTTGGTGAAACATCATTCTGTTATTATCTAGTGATCAAGCACGTTAAATTCTGAATCAGCGTGTTGGCCTACTACAAAGCAGTGTATATTCATATCACTTAACTTGTAATCGTTCTTAATATCCATGTAATATTTGCCACTGGCAGTTTAGCAGCTAATAATCAATCATAGGTTAGACAAAATCAAAATACGTTGTTTAATTCATAAAATGCAGTTATATAAGAGGGTCTGGATGGGGGTTTTACAGACTATAGAGAACAATGGACAAAAATATAAAGAAAAGAGCAAAATGAACTAAAAAATAAAAAATAGAGAATAATAAGGTGCTAAAATATAAAGAATAAAGAATAATGGGCTAAACGTATAATAGAGAAAAAAGGTCTAATATCTAGAAAATACAGAAATGAAGGAACCCATCCAGACCCTCATATAAGCTTTTCGTGACACACACACACCCTAGAATCCCCTAACGATACTATCCAAGATACAGTGTAATTTAATGTCCCGTAGAAAACTACAATTAAACTAATGCATATGTCATCATGATCATTGCATTTAATGTTCAATAAATTCAATGCCTTCAAGCCCATTAAGGTATAACTGCGTATTGAATTAAATTAAAAAATAAAATAAAATGAAGTTTTGATTGATTAATATTCATCACACTTTACTTCCGCTGTTCATAATGCATCGGAATATAAGTTTCACTTTTACCCTATAATATGTACATTGAATATCAACACGCACTACACTTTGTTTATTTACATGTTGGC